GCTTCACCTCCGAGATGCGTAGGGGCTCCGATTCCCGGAGAAGGCTGCTGAGGTTCGCCTCAGGAGAGAACAGCTTCCTAATGCCCAACTGAAATAGGGCGGATTAAGTGTGCTCAACGATGTAGATATTCGTTAGATATGTTAGATATTATATTGGATAGGCAAAGCATAAATATTTTTGGTGCTATTATTTGGCATATATTATTTGGCAGCTATTTGCAAGATAAATATGTTCAGAAAATTTGAATACGTGATAATATTTTGAAAATTAGGTCCAAGAGCTCGAAGTTCATATTTACAGATTACAGCTCCATTATACATACAATTATCTTAATACTTTTCAACGAATATACTATAAGATTTAACGCTATAAGTAAGGAAATATGTTACATCAAGCATTCCAAAGTATTTCAACACAACATGTCGCACACATCGAATTTTAAGGCTGCAGAGCCTAGGATTTGGATACTACCATTGGGTCACTTAGGCTAAAGCACTCACCTCCTCCAGCGCCGCCTGCAGAGGTACATCGAATTCGAATTTGAATTTGGGCAACTGCACGCGAACCTTTCGCCTGCTCAATTGGGAGCTTATTTCACTCAGGTCAACGCCCACTAGTTTCTCCTCGAGGAAGGCCAAGCCCTGCTCCTCCTGGGGCAGGATGATCAGGAAAACAATATCTGTGCCTGCGTAGGTCAGCTCCAAGGCCTTGGCCTTCAGCTCGGGCAGTTCGCCGAACCTGAAGAAATCCTCCTGGAACATGGTGTCCACGCTGACCTTCCGACCTCCGTGGTTGACGAAGTCGCTAGCGTAGGTGGCGTAGTCGGGAAAGCTGCTCTGCCAGTCGGCCTTGAAGTATATGGCATTGACCAGGACGGCCGAAGTATCTGCGTCCACTGAGGCCGGATCTATGAGGTCCTTGATTTGTTGATGGGTCTGCTCCTCCACCCAGGAGTTAATGCGCTTGGCTGCGTCCGCACTTTGGGTAAAGTTCACATTCTCTGCAGCTGCTGCGAAGTTTTTGCTCACCAAATCCTGATAGGCTTGCGCCAGCTGAAATCTCTGGCCCACGAAAATCCGATTGGCATATTTCAATTTGGGCCCGCCCTCGTCCCCACTCGCCTTTTCCCACTGTCCTTTGGCCAACAGCTGGGCCAATTTCTCAGCCACATCGTTCTTTCCAGCTCCTTCCAGGCCCAATCCCAGTTTCAACTCGTCGGCAGTGCTGCCCTCGGCGCCCAGGTAGGCTATGGCCAGGCCTGTCCGGATGGACGATGGAGAGAGGACGATGTTCCGGCCGGACTCGGACTTGGCCAACTGGCCAAAGAGCTTCAAGGCAAATTGAGCCTCGCCTGCGGGACTTTTGGAGTAGTTAAGAGTGTTCGCCATGGCCACAATCAGGCCCTGGAGCAGCAGAAGTGAACACGTGGCCTTGACTGCAGGATGTGGACATGGAAAGACCGAAACAGCAGTAGAAGAACAGTAGGCCATTAATTCGTGGACACACAGCTTGGACGTCTTCCCTACCTGACATGATTAGGAAAACTGAACCATTCGAGGTCTTTACTTTGAGTTTGAACTGTGATTCCACTGTTATCGGCGCTTAAACTGGTTCTCTGGCTATGTTTCTTTGTTCTCCTGTAATACACCCATACCACAACTGGTTTTTGAATAAGATAATTCTTCCTACCATTTTACTATTTACGATTCTAACGAATAATCAGAATTGCCCTATTCTGAGGTTTTCAAATCGAAAAATGGAAAATCAAAAATTGTGTGCAAATGAATAAATTGTTTGCTGGTACGGAGAAAAATACGCCTTTCGGAATATTATCTCTGGTTTCCATTTGCCTACTAAACTGTCACCTCAATAATGTTTACCAATTATTCCCTAACCACCTAATAAGTGGTTGAATGTAACACATAAAAGGTCATTTTCTGCACTAATAAATGAAAATACATCCATATGTCATTACAACCTTTACAGTCGAAAACTAAATTTGTAGGGATTTATGTTGACTTATATACATATGTATATATAGGGTATATATATAGGACTTATATATACATATATAGGTTATATAGTTGAAAGACACTAATTAATCTCCACTCGGCAGTGGTTCATTCGTAGTTCTTAGGTCGTGACTCAAATCATCAAAATTAGGAATTATATAAAGAGAGCGCACTTCAGTTCTCTTTGACCTTCATTCTCTTTTTGTGTGGCCCAATTTGGCTCTCTTATTGTTGACAAACAGTGATGTCATTTTGTTTACAAATAGAAATCGCATTTTCTCCGGAAATCACATCGAAAGTGAACAAAATTGATTTTTAAGTATGTATACTAGATCAGCAAGTGTATGTGTGCACAATTACCTTAATTATCTGTAGAGGATTTGCTTGTACTGTACATAAACCGTTCACGTGCTAAAAGACAGTGCGAGGGCTTCCGTGTTGAACTGGGAACTGACTCTTCTCGGGCCCTATAACTGCACTCCGTGGGGAATTTTATTCGAGTTGAATAACCACATACCACATACATATGTACATACATACATAAATAGTTTTTTAGATATATTCAAAAGTCGTATTTCCAAAGAAGCCACTTGAGAACATTTTCTTTTACTTCTGCACTCAACTACATTTTATGTTTGGCATTTTCTATACATTGAGTATTAAATAAATGCCAAATAAAGCAATTGCTATGTTTTTCAAAAGATTTTAGATCATTTCTTGTTAATTTCTTATATTCTACGGCTAAAAAATAACAACTTGAAATTACCCAAACTGGAGAGAACTCTGTAGTCGAGTTGCTCGAATAGCAGATACCAGTTGCTAAGCTAAATCGAGCGTGAGACGCTTCCGATATTTTATAAATGTGCGGAATGCGTTCTTGTGACAATCTTCTGAAACAAACTTGTTTGGCGTCCCTAAAATCTTCTTGCTCAAAAGTTCTTAGTTCTTTTACTTCCTGATATATCAACTTTAATAAGGCAGACGGGAATAATAAGACAGATCGACTCCGCTAGTAATCCTGATATTATACTATACTTTACTGGGTCGGAAACGCTTCCTTCTACCTGATTCGTGTGCGAGGAACTCGACTCGTGCTCACTTGTTTGTCATATTAAGTATTTGGACATAACAAGTTTGGAAAGTGTGAATAGTGTTTCAAATTGCATCTACCTACATTGGTTCGTTAGCTATGAGCACAGGAGATTGAACTATTTATTGCTTAACTAGCTAAACTAGCAGTTTTTTTTTAAATTTGTATAATTTATGTTTCTTGTATACATACATACGTCACGCATTTACCTGGACACTAAAAATTTAAAGGACTTAAAATAAATTCTTTCTTGCAACATATTGCTTATGTGCCCTTCGTCACTACGTGGTCTGCCCTACACAGGGCCCATAACTTAAAATGTAATTACGCCGTACGGAATGTTATAGCCAAAGTTTTCAAATCAGTTAAAATATTTTTCATTTATTCAAGGGCTTACAACACGGCCCTGGAAATATATGGTGTTTGCGTCGCGAATGACGAAGGCAAAGGGATGATCGGCCGCGAGGAACATAGAAAATCCCGCTCGATTTGTGACGGCCACAGCTGGGGATTAATGTGAACAGTGAGTATATAGTGAGTATATAGAGTCTACATTCATCGCTGATAACCAAATCTGTACTCACATGTGGCACCTGCGGCCTCCGCTCCCTCCTCGTTCACCTCCAGAAACGCCTTGTGGGAAACTTGACTGACTTTGCCACCCGACTTATCGGCAAACAAGCCGCTTAAGTCCGACTTGTCGGTGAAAAGCTCGCGGATGCCCAGCTTAAATACAATGGAGCGCTAAAGTGACACACTGGGTACTGCTGGGTGGAGTCTTACCTTCTCTAAGGTCTCTTTGAGCTCATCACGAAATTCGATTTTGAACCTGGGCAGCTTCAAAAACACCTCCTTCGCGTCCAGCGGCCTAGCGAAGCCAACTATCTTCTCTTCCAGGGCGCTCAAGGCCTCGACTTCTCGGGGCAGGAAGATAGTCATGGACAGGTTGGAGTTGAGATACGGCAGCTCGATGACTTGCGCATCCAGGTCGCGGAAGTAGTTAGCTCTGAATGTTCCCATTTGCGACATCATCTGGACGGGAACGCTCTTGTTCGCAGTTACTTGGAAGGTGGAGGCTCTGGTCTTAGCTGGGTCGAACTTCGACTCCCACTGGCCCTTGAAGTAAATGGCGTTCACGAGCAAGGCCTTCACATCGGACGTCATGCTGCCGGGCTCGATCATGTCCTTGATCTTACCGCTGGTCTGGTCCAGCACCCACTGGTTGATTCTCTCGGCCGCCAGAGGGCCGTTGGCCAGACTAATGGACTCCGCCTCGGACTTGAAGGACTCCCCCACAGCGAGGTTGTAGTCTTGATTCAGGCTAAATTGGTCGTTGACGTAGATGCGGTTGGCCAGTTTCAGTACGGGTCCCTCTTCCCGTCCCTGCAGCTTGTTGAGGAGAGCTCCGTACTTGGCGGCCACCGCCTGCTTGTCCCCCGATGGCAGCTCCAAGGCGCTCTGCAGCTCCTGGGCCGTAGACCCTTCGGCGCCCATGAAGACCATGCTGAGGATGGTCTCTATGGAGACGGGCGAGATGACGAGGTTCTGATTTGTATGGCTCTTGGAGAGTAGCTGGTAGATGTCTTTGGAGGATTGACATGCCACAGAAGTGACCCACAGGAAGATGCCTGGTGTGGGGAAATGAATTATCAATTTGGTTTCAGCGGTCGGAAATTCTGTTCATGCATATTAAACTTGATATTTCTGCTTTTGCAGGTTAAAGCAGATCGAATTCAACGAAAGCTGATAGTCTTAGCAAGTTAAAAGTTAATGCCGTAGCAAACATTTGCATCGTACTGTTTTATTATTTATATGACTAATACAAAATTAAAATCATGCGTTATTGTAAGTAATTTATTGCTTGTATTTTCACTGGCTATAAGCGATCGCCACTTACACAAGTGATACATTTGACCGTATACAACGAACTCTTGCCCGAGATAAGTATCTCGGTAAACTGAGCGCTGAGTGCCAAGACGAGCTCATATATGCACTGGACTCATATGTACCTATATGTACCTACTGGCAATACTTTACTTCGCTACTGAGAACCGCGCACACAGCTCTCTCAGATTGAAATCCAATGACGTCTAGTGGGATTTCATAGCTGCGTTCTATTCGGTCTCACTGCTGCTCCTAGACATGGTACATGCTGGCATGGGAACCTTGCCCTGGCGAGCCCTTCCCTCCTAATCCAGACCTGGGGTTCGAGAATCGGCCGGCGAAGAAGACGGCCTGCGGGTTTCGTATGTAAAACACGAACGGGTGATTCGCCTTGAACAGCTTCTTGTTCATATTTAGCATCATGGGTACTATCTTCATGACTGAGTGTGGGAATCGGTGTTGGGATTAGTAGGAGCACGCTGCGCGCAACTGATGCACTTACAACTGACTGCTGCTGCCTCCGATCCTGCCTCATTTACGTCGATGTAGCCGCGGTGCCTTGCCGCCGAGATCTTTTGGCCACTTCGCGAGGTAAAGAGCCCGTCGAGTCTGGCCTTGTCGCTGAAGACCTCCGTAATACCCAGCTGTGGGTACATTGGATTGAAGTTAGATAGCGGATTATTAGGATTAGGTTGCTTGCAACTCACCTGATTAAGTACCTGTTTGAGATCCACGTCGTACTCTATGCACATCCTGGGCAGGAAGATCTCCACATCCTGCCAGGTCAGAGCTGCGTCAATATCGGCTAGATCCGTGGTCTTGAGCTGCTGCTCCAGCTCCTGCAGACCGGCTACTTCGTTGGGTAGCAGGATCAGCATGTGTATATTTGAGTAATCATAGGGCAGTTGCACAGCCCGCGCCTTCAGCTGTGGCAGTTCGGCGAACCTGAACTTGTCCTCTTGGTACATCATGTTCACCTCCACGTGAGTGTCCCGGTCTACGTGGAAATGGTCGATCGAGGTGGTCTCCGGCATAAAGGGCTTATTCCACTTTCCCTTGAAGTACAAGACGTTGATGAGCAAGGCGCTCGTTTCGTTGTTCACGGCGTCCGGCTGAAGCAGGTTGGTGATCTTGTGCTCCGTCTCCTGTTCCACCCAGTCGTTGATCAGCTGCGCAGCGCCCTCCGAATCCGCGAACCTAGTCGCCTCTGCCTTCGACTGGAAGAAGTCCATGGCGATCTCGTTAAACTCTGGAAGCAGTTCCAAGGAATCGTGGACGTACAACCGGTTCACGGACTTCAACACGGGTCCCCTTTCGCCGTAGTTGCAGTTCGTGCGCCAGAACTCTCCGAAGTTCAGGGCTATGTGATGGCGGTCTCCTGGTCCAAGCTGGAGTCCATTCCTTAGCTCCTCTGCCGTAGACCCGGTCGCGCCCATAAATGCCAAGGTCAGTGAACTTTGGACGGATGCTGGTGAGAAAATCGTATTGATGTGTGCATCTTTGCTCTGTTGCACCGCATCTTTGGTAATGACATCTATCAGATTTCGGGCAAACTGATTTCTGCCATCTTGGGGTTCGCTCATCTCGATCTGCGTATAGAAATATATGTTTGATATTTTTAAATGCTTAAATGTACAAAATAACACATTTTCTGGTCACATTGCCATTTAGAATTTGGCTTCTAATTAAACTATAAATGGAAATCTCTGAATGACGTATTGCAAATACTACTAGGTGACGATAATAACTATTACATATATTTTTATAGGTCCAAACGCCGCGAAAGCAATTCAAAGATAAAAACACGCACGTCACCTGATAAGGTTGTTGATGTTTATATACATATACACTTTTCCACCCTATGTGGACTTTATATACTTCGATTAGCGTAACATAGCCTGCCCAGATTTTGAATTATGCTAGGAACTATGAATATAGCTACTTGGATCGGCGAAACAGGTGAGGTTGCGCTAATTAACTTACACCGTAAAAAACAATCTAGCAAAGACAATGGGAAGGCAGCCGGAGTAAGAGCGTGACTTCTGTCATACCGCGCGGAATCGACTAACGCCGGAATCGCTGTGAGTCAGAACTGAACGAACTGCGGCCCGATTAGAAAAATTCCAAGTGGCAAGCGCTCCGGACCGAGATAGCTAGCTGGCTAGTGACCCAAAATTGGGCAGGCTGATAACTCCTCTGCTCGAATGGTTCCGAAAACTGAGTACACACTGACTCTTCTGTCGCAGAACAGACATTTAGGAATTTCCCATTGACTAAGCGAGAGCGCCTGCTTCCTTCACCATGAGAGATGCGGAGTTCACTCAGGGCTTGGAACACTTCGCGCTTTGTCTGCATGACCATTTGTGCCGGGCAAATCCTGGTCAGAATATCATCTACTCCCCGTTGTCCATCCAGACCTCGGCGGCCATGCTGCGCATGGGAACGGCTGAGGGATCGGCCACAGCTAAGGAGCTGGACGAGGGCCTCCGATTGGGTGGGCGAGATGTTCAGGAAGTAGCTGAAAGCTTTAATGTCGTCCTCGAGTCCTATGCACAGTGCCAGGTCCTCAAAATGGTAAACGGCCTTTGCGTTATGAAGGGCCTTCAAGTTGACGAGCAGTTTGGCCACATTATAGAGCGCAAGTTTCGCTCAAGGCCAATGGAGATTGACTTTGGCAGCGAGCAGGCTGCCAGCATAATCAACAAATGGGTAGCGGCCCAGACCAACAACCTAATCAAGGACATTATCGGTCCAAGAGTTCTGACCAAGGACTCGCGGCTGTGCCTAGTGAACGCTATTCACTTCAAAGGAAAATGGTCAATCGGATTTAATGAACGAGACACCCAAGAAGCTGAATTCTTCGGATCGGGTAAGCCCTCTAGAGTGAGAATGATGCACGTCTGCGAGAACTTCTTTTTTGCCGTGCTTCCAAGGCTCGAAGCCACTGCCCTCAGAATGAATTATAGTGGCTGTAATCTGGCTATGATCGTTATACTTCCGGATGAGAAGTCGAATCTCACGCGGCTGGAAAAGCAGCTTACTGATATTTCTCTAGAGGCATTGTCAGCGGCCATGAATCTGGAAAAAGTTGATGTGAAGATTCCTAGTTTCGCAGCCGAGTTTCAGCAGGAGCTATCCCAGGTCTTTATGCAGGTTAGCCTAAATGGTTTTGTAGTCGAATTTCGATTATATGTGTATACGTGACCAGGCTACTCACAGATGGGCATGAACCGCATGTTTAGTGGTCAGGCTGAGCTTGGCGGAATGCTAAAATCCGAAAAGGGCCTATTTGTCTCCAAGATCGTCCACAAAGCATTCATCGAGGTCAACGAAGTGGGCACTGAAGCTGCAGCCGCAACGGGTGAGCCTGCAGGAACTTGGGTCCCATTAACATGATCATTTTTGAGTGAAGCCAAAACTCTACTTTTCGCATTTCGATATGCCTTTATCTGTAGTACCCTTTTCTAAGTCAGCTTTCCTTATGTAACGTAAAAACGTGTATAATCAGTAGTAGTAATTCACTCAAATAGGTATGTATTCTAATTAACTAATTTAAAGTTATTGTTCAGCTGTAGTTGCCACATTTAGAAGCATGCCTCCACCCCAGGGTTCTCCAAAGGTATTTCACGCTAATAGACCTTTCTTCTATGCTATTCATGACAACACCCATGGGCTTCTATTTGTCGGTCATTTTGTCACCACAAAGGCTGAGAACTCCTAATTCGTATCTAAAGAAAAGAATGCGCAGTTTTGAAATATCTTTGGCCGGCTTAAAAGTTACGAAATAAATTGTATTTTCATTTCGTCACATTTGAAATATTTTTTAATTGACACTTGAAATATCTAAGAATTATCTTTAATAAACTTTAATCCTTCAATAATTGTACTGAGAGACTAACAGACTACTAGATACTCTTACATTTCTTTTCGTCGACTTGTTACTTTTCGTAACTTGTTTACAATGGCAGTTTTGGGAGGTTTGTGGGCGTGGCAGCATTTGGAAACAAACTAGCTTTTATAGTTCCTTAAATCGAGGCGTTCATACGGACATACGGACGGACAGTCGGACGTCCAGACGGACATGGCTAGTTCGACTCGGCTATTGATCCTGATCCAAGAATATATGGTCGGAATAGCTTTCTTCTGCATGTGACAAACTTTTAAACGAATCTAGTATACCCTTTTACTCTACGAGTAACGGCCATAAATATTAAAACTAACTCACGAAGAACTTATAATTTGAATCCTTCTGCATGGTACGTACTGTTCCACGAATGTGGTATACCCTACAAATGAGGTGTGTAAATGCAGGGGCTTAAGCGATTCTGTTGCCTAGAACTTCTGACAAATTCTAGTAAACAAATTGAGCTAGGAACGATTTCAGTTTCAGCTTCCCTCCGTTATCAGCGAACGGAAAAAATCCCATTATTGTTGCAGATAATAACAAGCTCATGCTGAGCTTTGACTGATAAGGGTGTGCGGACCTGAAGTCAGACCAGTCTATAACGTACGCTTTGAAGGCTAGGTTTACTTTAATACAAATTACTGAGAATGGATCTCCGTTTGGTGTCATACGGTAAGTTATCCGACAGTCCGACTTTAAAAAGCGAAAGAAAGAGCGATATACATTTAAAGAGTGAAATCAATGAGTACACTGAGTGCAGGCGAGAGAAAAACCCGTTTGGGAACACGAACTAAAGAGAAAACACTGTTGTGAGGGAGTGCAATGCATTTGGGTATAAAAACAACGCGCGCTCGCTGAGAGAATTCAGTTGTTGCTTAAAGGCCACATCATAAAAGACGACGGCAACGGTTATAGAACGGACATCGAATTACAAACTCGAAGCAGCTGGAGAAAAACTGAGTACCAGCAGTTGAAGCAGGCAGTAAATTACCGTTTTCGATAATCAAGCTACTGAATTCCCGGCGAAACGGCCAGCCCCAGAGATACAGTGTACGCCATTTGTGGAGGTGACTCATCTGTCCACTGCAATTACATAAATTTATGAAATCGAGCAGACCTCATCCACGGTTGATTTGGATACTTACAGCTTGCTGGTTGCTCCCCCTGCTCGGCCTAGTCCTCTCCCCGTTTCCAACGGTCCACTCGGCTGACGTCACCATGGCCGACGCCGCCCACCAGGAGTTCGCCCGCCGGTTGGCCCTCTTTTCCATCAACGTGTACAGCAAGCTGTCGGCGCATAAGCCCGGCGAGAACATCGTCTTCTCGCCCTTTTCCATCCAGACCTGTGCGGCGATGGCCAGGCTGGGCGCAGAAATGGAGACGGCCACACAACTGGACCAAGGACTGGGTCTGGCCACCAGTGACCCAGAACAAATTGCACAGAGTTTCCACCAGGTGCTGGCCGCCTACCAGGACAGCCAGATCCTGCGCATCGCCAACAAGATTTTCGTGATGGAGGGCTACCAGCTGCGTCAGGAGTTTGACCAGTTGTTGTCCAAGCAGTTCCTCTCGGCGGCTCAGAGCGTGGACTTTGCCAAAAATGTCCAAGCAGCGGCCACCATCAACAACTGGGTCGAGCAGCGCACCAACCACCTGATCAAGGACCTTGTGTCGGCTGACGTACTGAACTCCGATTCGCGACTGGTCCTTGTGAACGCCATCCACTTCAAGGGCACCTGGCAGCACCAGTTCTCCAAGCACTTGACGCGCCCGGACACCTTTCACCTGGATGGCGAGCGAACCGTTCAGGTTCCGATGATGAGTATTAAGAAGCGGCTACGCTACGCCGATCTGACGGCGCTAGATGCCAAGGCCCTGGAACTGCCCTACAAGGACTCAGACCTATCTATGCTGATCGTTCTGCCCAACACCAAGACGGGTCTGCCCGCACTAGAGGAGAAGCTGCGCCTCACTCCCCTTTCGCAGATCACGCAGGCGTTGCACGAAACCATGGTGGCACTCAAACTGCCCAGGTTCAAGGCGGAGTTCCAAGTGGAGTTGACTGAGGTTTTCCAGGAGGTGAGCTTTGCCTTATACACATAAGCAAGGAAATGGACTTCATGTTTCTATAAACCTCCTCCAGTTGGGCATGTCAAGGATGTTCACCGATCAGGCTCAATTCGGAAAAATGCTGCAAAGTCCGGAGCCCTTGAAAGTGTCAGCCGTCATACACAAGGCCTTCATAGAAGTAAACGAAGAGGGAACGGAGGCTGCGGCCGCCACGGGTATGTGGTCACAGTCATTTGTTTTTTTGGCATCCATCATCCTGTGCATGTCCCATTTGTTCATCCGTGTCTGTCTTGTCTTCTTCCCATCCTGCAGGAATGGTGGCACGTACGAAGCGTGCTATTTACTCGCTCGAGGAACCAATTGATTTCTTTGCCGACCATCCTTTCACCTATGCCCTAGTGCATAAGGAGGATCTGCCATTGTTTTGGGGCTCAGTTGTGAGGCTCGAGGAAAATATCTCCGCCTCCAGCGAGCATGATGAGCTGTGATGGTACCTGATTATTTTGCAAAACAATAAAGGCAGCTATTTACAATGGAGCATCAATTTGTCTAAAGCTTTAGGAATATCCGCAATTGCTCTAAAAAGAAAATCCATTGATTACATAAAGAAAATAAATTGCATCTGGGCCATTATTGGGTTGACCACTAACTAAATTCAGTTTTGTAATGCCTGAGCCATTTTTCATTTGCAGGAATGGTCATGTGCTTCGCCTCCATGCTCTCGTACGAACCACAGCCCGTCCAATTCCATGTACAGCATCCATTTAACTATTACATAATCAATAAGGATTCTACAATTTTGTTTGCGGGCAGAATCAATAGGCTTTGAAGTTAGCACTCCATCAAAATCCACCCGTCACAACCATTGAACTGAATTTCAATGCAATCCCAATCCGCAGGTATGGCCATAACACTTTTTTCGATGCCCATGTCGATGCCGGATCCGATACGATTCTATGTCGATCATCCATTTAACTTTTACATTCTTAACAAGGACTCAGCAGCTCTCTTCGCTGGCGGCATCAAGAAAATCTAAATAAGCACGGGCACCTTCTACTAACCAATCCACCATGTCACTCGAGGGTCTCGTCTTTGTTTAATTTACACGTGGGCCAGTCCTATAGCTGGCATATATACATATATATATATCTATATCTATATATCAAGCATAAATTCGACTTTTACATTGCCTGTAAGGATACACAAAACTTTAGACTGTGCGCAATTGATGAATTTATATATACGCTTAATATTTTTGTACTAACCAAGCATGTAGCCTTAATAAAGTCTAGAAGCAGGTGTCTAAAATTCTGCATCGTTTCCATGGTTCCTCCTCAGGATTCCGGGTGATGCCCGTGGCTGCCTTCAGTCGCAAAAACTTTATTGTTAACCATCCCTTTGCTTTCTACGTGAAGTCCCATTTCGATCTGCCGTTATTCACCGGGCGCTACTTGGGTTGAGCAATATAAAGCTTTCTATGAAACAAATTTAAGTTCAATAAAATAATATAAACGACAGTCACCTAATAGCTGTGATTTCGTCAAGTCGAAGTAATTTATAGAAATATCTTTGGCAAACGCAACCAAGCCTAACGGTGTAGCACGCTATCGCTAAATTGGTAAGACAAATCGAGCAGCGATTCCCAATAGTTGATCTTCAAGTGTTAGGCCAAACACACTCAACATGCTCCGCTGGTTGCAAATGGGCCTTCTTTCGGCCATACTGTCTTTGGGACAAGGACATGTTGTATCTGGCTCGTTTAATTGTAAGTAGCGTGAACTAGATGCTATATAGAGATATTTCACGGGGAGTTGCGTATGCAGTGACTCTCTACAGGCAAATGCCCCCTCTATACTATCTCGACGACTACGACCTCTGCCTGGATAACCATTCTGGTACCTACTGCTTGGTGTACGTCGAGATTCTGCCCAATGCTAGCTCTGCTCTGTGGCACCAGATTGACCAAGTTTCCCAGGACTCAAAGCACCGATTTCGCCACGATCGCGTCTTCAGGGGCGTGTGTCTGGAGAGCTGCAAGCAAAGTATCAATGACTTATCTGAGTTCACGGAGTACGAGGAAGAAGAAATCCTGGATAAGGAACTTATATCCTACTACAACAAGGTACACCGTCGGGAATCGAACTCAGACAGGGCTCTCCTCTATAAGGAGGTTGTGAACAGCTGCCTGAACTATAACTTCGGTGAAAAGTTTTCGCTCAGGTCTCGCAACCATATCGAGTATTGTGTCTCGGCCTCGGACATGGACTTGAAGCTGGGTAAGTCAAGTGGAGATTATTTTTGACAAGCTATACATGCAGCTTGTGGAAGCTTTACACCATTACAATTGTATAGGTGCAGTTTTCCGCCTTCCTGTTTTTGATAACCTGAGCACTGTGTAAAGTTCATTTCCCCAGATTTGCTTGATTTGACGTTTTATGGTATTCTGGTCCTAATAATCATTATAACTCTGTGTTCGTCTTTGCTTGACTACCGACTGAGCCAGATGAACTCGCCAAAAACAGAAAATTTCTATCGAGAGCCACCAAAGAGTCGACGTAAGTGGATATGAACTACAGGTACTTGACACCCTTAAGCTGATATCGGTTCGCCTCCAGGAAAGCGACTCCTTACATCGTTCTCAGTGCTGCGAAACTATCATCGATTGGTTGAGCCGTACAACTCAGATTTCTCGCGCGAAGTGAGCTTTTTTGACGGGTTTCGGGTGATCGGCGTGTTTGTAGTGATCCTAGGGCACACGCTCATGGTCTTTATGACTGTTCCAATAGAAAATCCGGAGTTCTTTGAGCAGTTCCTTTTCAGATTCGAGACTTCAGTATTCCAGAACGGCAGCTTGGTCATCCAGATATTTTTTGTTATAAGTGGCTTTCTTCTCTACGTGAAATTCACCAAACGCCAGCTGATTCAACCCAAGACTAGCATGCTTGAGTGCATTGCTGTGTACTTCCGTGTGTTTCTCTACAGATACTTTAGACTCCTTCCGTCGCTTCTCGCTCTCATCCTGTTCAACGGAACACTGCTGGTGCGCCTTCAAAACGGCCCCTTTTGGCTACATCTTACGGAGGCCGAGCGGGTCTTCTGTCGCTCCAACTGGTGGAAGAACGTGTTTTTCGTGGCCAACCACATGCTGGAAGACAGTGTGCGTTACTTTAATAATTGTTCAGTGTTTTAGAAAGGCCACCTCACCCTTTAAAGCAGTGGAAGCATTGAAAGCACCTTACCTATCCTATTTCTCATTGTAGTGCTCTCATCAGACATGGTACTTAGGCGCTGACATGCAACTATTCGAGCTCTTTCTTATAGTAATTATCATAACCAAAAAGTAAGTTCCTTGCGCTTTTTGCAATTTCAAAAATTAGCTTGTGCTTTTAGGCATCCCAAGTGGACGAGGGCAATCTACACAACTCTTTTATCGCTTGCCCTAGCAGTGCCTGCTGTGGTGACCTACGTTCTCGAGTTGGATGGTATCTACCATATTCGTCCGGAGTAGGTTTTTAAAAGTTCTCTATTGCTCTATTTCTCAGTCATGATAAGTGAATGTCCCCAGAACGTACCGCTACTTGTACTTCCGACATTCTGACACATTCTACCAAATGTATCCGCCCTTTTACACTAATTTGGGAGGCTACCTGTTTGGTTTTCTGTGCGGTCATTTTTACCTAAGGCAGCGTTCTGGAAAAGTAGAACTCCGGGGTCAACGTAAGTACGAGCTGGCCATGTGGTTGCTTGTGCTGGCCACGCTGGCAGTGCTCTTCTCCGGCTACATCTTCATTCGACAGGACTTTGCGAAGCCATCGCTATGGCTAGCCCTGTATGCAGGCATCCACAAGATCTTGTGGGTGCTAATATGCGCAGGATTCGTGATCCTCATGTGCTGCAAGGTGGGAGGTGGGTTAACTAACAGATTTTAACTTATGTAAGTCACTGAGTCACTCACCAATCCACGACAGGCATGGCTTACGATTTCTGCACATTGCCGGTGTTTCGGCCTCTGGCAAGAATCTCATTTCAGTCGTTTCTCTGGCACATTGTCGTCCTCAGAACAGTGGTGGGATATTTTAGGCAGCCGGTCTACGTCTCCAGCTTCTACTTGGTAATATTTTTAACTTAGGATATACAATTCAATTGCTTTAATCTCCACTTCAGCTGTGCAACGTGTTGAGTGTGTTTATGCTCACTCAATTTGTGGCTGCGCTGGTGGCGGTGCTTCTTGAATATCCATTTCTAGAGGTGCTGCGTTGCTTGACAAAGCCGGAGAAAGGTATACACCTCCTGCACTTGACGCAATTCTAGCTAAATTCAAATAATTTCAGCACGGGAAGAAGTCGGCCCGGAAATTCAAATGAGACCCGCGCCGTCAGCTGTTTAGGGTTACCCTATTCCGCGCCAGGGATGCACGACAATGCTGCAATGTTAATTCCGACATCCCTGTTGGTACATAAATACAGCTTTTTTATAATGAAAAATATATCAATTAAAGGATTGGATTTGCGAAAAATCGTCATATTTTGAATGCAAATTCTTTATATTTAACAAATATCTTAGAGTTTAGTTAAGTGGCTCATAAAAATTAAACACCAAAACATCTCTGCGTTTGTAAATATATTGTAAAATTGGGAGTCTTCAAAAGGCGGCAGTCAGCCCGAAAAAAAACACTAGCTGGATCTAGCTATTGCCATGGCAGTTTCGGCCCAGGTGGCAGCCCCAGGCGGATGAACGCGGCGCCGGTGAACGTGAACGCGAACTGCGCTGATATCAACAACTCGCCTCGAACAACAGTGTCGAACTTGCTCTTAGATGCTCAGCGCGCTCTCGTCGGCATTTTGTACTCGTCCCGTCTTTCTGCTGACTGAAAAGTCTGAAAAGAAGTGCCTTAAGTTCCCAGCCGGAGTCGTGTGCAAAATCTCTAGTTGAATCCCGCTGAATGCGCTGGCCCCAGTGAGTGGAGTGATAGATAAGTGAGTGGTGGTATTTTGGTTTCTTGCGGCCGCTTCTGTGCCGCCACATTAAATGTCAAGCAAAAGCAAGCGGTTGCAATGAATCACAGCTGTATTTTTGCGGAATAGGAGTAATGCGGCTCGGTGTCAGCTGAAGCTGCGCATTTTCCAGGTGACGTTGCGAGTGGTCGATGCAAATGCACCTCTTAAGTAATGAACGCGCGTATTACAAAATCATTAAAAATCACGGTAAAAAATAAGTGCGACAGCCGCCTTGCGACCATACGTGTGTGTGCGTGTGATTCTGTGTGCGCCGAGTGTGGCGTGCGTGCGCTGGTGTGCGTGCTTTCTTGTGCGAGCGGAGCGGCGAACGCAGTGCATGTGAAGAGTACCGCTATAAAAGTTTCGCCATCTGCTCTCCCGCTCGCTCGCCGTGTTATATGAGTCCAACACCCAAAAAAGGGAATAAAGAGAGCGAAGCAGCGTCTTTGGCAGCGCCAGTGCCGAAAAACGTTGCAAAAACAAGCGAAAGAAATCAAACAACTCGCAGTCGAATTTGTTGTTTCGCACTTGATTGTATTAATTGTTTTTTTCTGGTATTTATTTTTTTCTTCCTCGCGTTTCGCTGTAATTTGTGTGGCTTTTCCTTTCCGGCTCTCACTTGTTTACGCTACGGGAGAGCATGAGAGCGGGAAAGAGCGGCCGAGTGCGGGAGAAAGGAAAAGGGGGAGAGAGTGTACCAATTGTTGCTGGTGGAAGCAACAAGTTACTGAAGGGCAAGGAGGGTGTGCTTTCAAAGGGCGCCAAAATGAGCTGGCATTTGAAATTTCGGAATATTGGCTAGCCATAAACGTGGCATCCAGTGGGACCAAGCCCAGAATTACGGTTCATTTCGTGCGTGCGAGCGAGAGCAAGTGTAAAAAACAAGCGACCTCCAGAGGCGTCTTCGAAAGTGCGCGCGAGCAAGCGAGAGAGCGCACAGCATACGCCCCCACGCACAGCTATTTCGGTTGCTCCCCAAATGGGTTAAGCAGCGAAACTTAGCCAACACCAATTAGTGACAAAAATATGAGAAATGCACTGGAATGAAGCACACACACACTCGTGCGCGACCGCCGATCGTGTTTATGCGTCAGTCAATGTCGTGATTACGCGGCGGCCAACAGCTGTTCGACAACGATCGCAAAACAGGCGCACGTATGAACGCTTATTGGGCAGGCAACCGGCGTATCCGGGCATTGGCGGCAATAAGTCCGAAAAGAAATAGGAAGCAAGTAATTTTGGGAAGTCACTGCTTAAATACCCTATCGGATACTACGAAAATCGAAAATTCTAATTTTACAGTTGCGAATATATGAACTAGAATTAAAATAAAATATTGAAGAAAAATTAAGATCACATTTCACCAACTATCATCAGCTATAGTCTTGGAACCGAAAAATATAGGTCGCTAACAGTGCTGATGCTCGAAGTAATTATACCCGTTACTCGTAGAATAAAAGGGTATACTAGATTCGTTAAAAAGTATGCAAGAGGTAGAAGGAAGCGTTTCCGACCATATGAAGTATATATGTATATTCATGATCAGGATTAATAACGGATGGCCATGTCCATCCGTCGGTCCGTCCGTATGAACGTAGAGATCTCAAGAACTATAAAAGCTAGAAAGAGATTAAGCATGCAGATTCCAGAGATATAGACGCAACGAAAGTTTTTTGACCCATGTTGCCGCGCCCACAAACAGCTAAAAACTGCCACGCCCAAAGTTTTAAAAACTGTAGAAATTTCTATCGATAAGCTAAAAAATGTTGGCCACGCCTACTCTAACGCCTAGAAGCCACAAGGCTTCCCACGCCCACAGTTTTAAATTTTTTTTGTTTGTTTTGCCAATTTCTATCGATATGCCAAAAAGGATGTTGAACTTTCTGGCTGCAATCCCATTAGCTGAGTAACGGGTATCTGATAGTCGAGGAACTCAACTATAGCGTTTCCTTATGTTTTACATTAGATTTGAGTGTTTTTTAGCCCTGAGTCTTTTTTAGCCTTATTTAATGATTTCAGACAAACAAAAATCTTACTTTAGAAATCAATCTTAAAACTTTTTTGATCTTGCTGGACATTGCTGAACTCAAAAATCAGTTCGAATAAAGAAGAATAACTTTTGAAACCCGAACTGGCATTGGAATGCATATTTTAATACCTAGTTAGAGTGATTTATCTATTATTTCTATCCAACAAATGGGTAAATTAACTTGTACTTGACAACACTTATAAAAAAATATTTTAAAGAAACATATTTATATTTCATTATATTTTTTTATATTTAGAAAAGTTTTCGGTGTGCCATTTCTATGGCGCTTCCAAATAATAGGCGATTTTCTAAAATTCAGGTATATTTTATTCCGAGTTTTTCACGTATTGATAAGAATTGTCTGATGGAATAAGCGTTTTAGGCTATAGTTAGGTATCAAACACAGTATTGGGAATTGCAGAAATGTGTAATTTTAAAAGGAAAGGTACTTTTTTCGCCAATTGAGCCGCAGAAAAAAAACATGTACGCTGAATTTCCAGGGTGCAGAGCATCCACAATTGCCGCCCAGTCTGACTAAGCGCAAATGGAAATATAGCAACAAGCGGACGGCGGGCGGAGTGGGGGGCGCTGAGGAGAAAAAGAAAAAGAACGAGCGGCAATTAAGACAGCAACAAAAGCCAGCGCCACTTGCGACGGCGAGGGGAGCTGATGGGTGTCGGTTGGGGCACTGCTATGCATGTGGTTAATTTTAGCAGCAGAGTTCCACTTTCACTCGTACAGCGACGACACCCACTGTGCTGCAAGCCAGTGTGTCTGCCGCGACACTTGTGCGCTTTTTGTCAAAAACTTTGGCTAATCGCCGTCAGGCACGCACACTGTGCAATCAGTTTGATGAACCTACAACACACACGCCTAAGTGCTGCATGTATATGCGCTGCACAACCAATGACGTTGCGACTGCATCAATGACATCATCATCATCGCAATCGAACTCACCATCCAGTCGTGTAGCGGCGAACGGCGAAAGTTTCCAGTGCAGCCGACAGCCGATAAACAGCGGGCCCCTTATCACGCGTGACTCATGCCTGTGGCATTGATCACTGGCCAGCTGATTAGGTGTCGCTGCAGCTGTGCACAGGAAAAAAGATACCATGGTTAATCAAAACCAAGCCGCGCAACGGGAACAACGTACACACATGCGTGATGTGATATTGATAACACTACGCTACAACTGGTGGGCTATCTTATAGTACCAAGACTATGTTTATGTAGTATTGATGTAGTAACCCCTTGTTCAAGCAAGACTAGCTTTGAGGAAAAGTTTTGAACTTTCAGTGGAAGCTAGTACGATTGCTGCACATTTAATAGACCGTTTTTCGAGTGTACATGGGAATAGAGATGTCAATATAACGGGCCCTCGTCGCCACAATTGGAGCAGTGTCCCATTCCATCACCACTTTATTTTTACCCAAGCACTGTTTTATTTTCGCTCACGCCCCATTGCACTGCTGCTGGAAACTACTCGTACTACGCCTAATTGACTGCACACCCAAGTCAGTCAGTCAGTCGAGGGGGTGGAGAGGGGAGGGGTGTCGAGTGGGGGACCCACGGCGTTTTAGTCACGCCGCCGGGAACAAGAACAACACGACGGCATTTGCCAGCAATTAGAAGTGACCGGTGAACACAACGTGTCGACAAAGCGCCAAGTTTTGCAATCAAGCATTAAGCCAGTCGCCGATCGCTGGACCATCGCATTCGCATCAATTCAGCGGCGGCTGCATCTCGCGCGATTTCCACTTAAATTGCTGAAGGGCCCCATAATAAGCGCATTGTCAAATGGTTAACGTAATTACAAGACAGTCGCTGCTGAAAGTTGGTGTACACCCGCAGTCTGTTTCTAATCCTGTCAGAGACACCTCCTAGAACTAAAATCTGACGCAGGACAGCCATTTTCAAGACAATTTTCGCAGGGAATTCTTTGGAAGCTAATTATACCATTAAAATCATTTTGTCCGTTGAACCCATTTTATTGCTATCGGGTATTTGTAGGGAAGAAGTATTCTTCCGACCCTATGAAGAATTTATTCCTAATCAGGTTCTCAATTTATAAGTAATTAACAAGTCGACTCAAAAACAGTTCTGAACAAAGTAAGAAACTAGTGACGATCGCACCCTACAACTTTTTGTAAAAAATATATTTTGCATTTAAACACAATAACTAAAATTGTGCACTTCCAACCACTGTGACATTTTAAGAACCGGTACTAATTTTAGCCGGATGTACTTCTATTTTGATTTCTTTTCGATTAATATATCCTTAAACATCCTTGCATTTGTGTCCCACTGTAACTGATGGAGTTCAATGTGACCCGCATAATGGGCGTCTGGAATGAGTACTTATGAGATT